TGATTTCAGCTTGATTCTAGCTGTGGGCAATGTTGACAGGCTTGCATGCAGTAGCCATACATTTAGCTATGGCTTCAGCAAATTTGTTCTTCGTCGTGTTATCCATTTTCTTCGCTTTGAAATTCTCCAGAGCTGTCTGTCTTAGACGAGGGGGCAGAGTACTCACATCAGCTGTGTGCTTGGCCATTAAGTGGTATTTCAGATTCGACGTGCTAGATGATAGCTCAGTTTACGACTGCAAACATGCAGGTAACTTTGGTCTTGTCAGTGGAACCATCTGGCAACTTTTTAAAAGTAAACTTTCCATTCATAAACTCTTTAAGTATCCGTTTTCGGTGTCTTGCGCTGCCATGGCTGGCAAAACAGACATGGGCGGGGACCTGTGCAGCGCGCTTGTTGTTGTTTCCGGTTTATTTATAGAGCAACGTAACATCCGCTGTGACGTGTTGCCGCATTAATCTCGCGATAAAAAATTTAATCACGTTAAAATTGATTTAAATTAACGCCATAACGCGCTAAACTGACAGCACTAATATGTGTGTGTGTGTGTGTGTGTGTGTGTGTGTGTGTGTGTGTGTGTGTGTGTGTGTGTTTTGCCATGCTGTTGGCATGAGATTGAGTTGCTGTCACATGACCCAGCCTGCATCCAAACCAATGTGTGGGGAGGTTTTCATGAGCGTCGTCCATGCATTCTGGGAACTCTTTCTGCTTTAATGCATTTCTCCATGTTCATGCTCTTGGACGTTTCCCTCAACTCTTCAGATCTTCACTGGTTTAGAGTGTTCTTGTGGTTTTACCATGCCCTGTAATCAACTTTCTTTCTCAGCCAAAAATGTCTAAATACCTGTTAGTGGTCAGTTAGTTACTGTTCTAATCTTGCATTACAGTCTCCTATTCTGTCATTGTAATTATGTGTTTCAGTTTTACGTTTGTTGGACAGTACTATTAAGTGTAGCACGATGGTTCCCTTTTTTGACAAACAGATCCATCACTAAATTGGGACTATGCTAATTTTTTTTTTAATTTGACATTTCTTCTTTGCCGTAGGCCATGAACTTGGTAAGTTTTGGTCATACTACAGTACTCTGCTTTTGTGCTTAATTGTTGGCCTCACAGTTAACATTCAATGCAGTGCAACTTCTTCATCAAAAAGATCTGCTTATGTATGTTTCTTTATTTGAAGTGGCTTCAGTACCATAATGGTGGTGGCTGTAATTTCCTCTACTAGCACCTCCAGCTTCAGCATCACACTGTATCTCATCTGCTTTGCACTCTGTTCTGAATCCGTCTTAGTTATTGCATCATGCAGAAGGAATTTATTTGAAGACATGCATGTTCAGTTATTGGAAGACTTTTAGGTGTGAATGTGAGTTTCTTGCCATTATGCCAAGCTGACCAATACATTTTTGATAGGCTTCAAGCTGTGTTTTTTTAAAAAGTGGACAGATTGAGTATTTGTTTCTGCAGGCTGGCTTGCTGTCAAGAGTAGCCATGAATGATAACGCTTTGGAATGTTGAGTTTGTATGTCTGGATTTGTCCAGTTGGAACAACAACGATTTTATTCATGTTCAGGACCAGGTTTCCAAAGACAAAGCACTACAGACAGTGGCCAACCTTTCATCAGCTCAGATTGTGTCTGCAAGTGTGATGAAAAGCCAAGCTTCTTTCCCTCCACCAGTCAGGGTACGAAGACACACACCAACATACTCACTCACACATCTGGATGAAAGACTCTGTAGTGAAGTTTGCTCTCCGCTGTTTTCTTCGGTCTAGTTTTGGCCGGGCCATGTGCCAGGACAGCCTGGACATTCTCAGGAGTAAGCATCCTTTTTGCATGACATGCTTGCTGAAGTGAAATCGGAGAATCTTGTAAGCTGAAACTGGTGCAGTTTCTTAATCAGTCTTTTTTTTTTTTCCTTTTAGCATCAAGCCCTTTGCACAGCCCCCATACACAACACTAGCAGCTCCTGTTCCTGCACCCATCAGTAAGTATAGAACTTTGAGTAACTTTAGAGCAGCACATGGCATGAGACAGAGCATACAATTGCACAGAAAAGTGAACTATTTTAATGGCCCCATGTGATGGAATAATTTGCTGTACACTAATACCAAATGGAAAGGCTAACAAGGGCCTTTTGTGCTTAATTGTTGGCCTCACAGTTAACATTCAATGCAGTGCAACTTCTTCATCAAAAAGATCTGCTTATGTATGTTTCTTTATTTGAAGTGGCTTCAGTACCATAATGGTGGTGGCTGTAATTTCCTCTACTAGCACCTCCAGCTTCAGCATCACACTGTATCTCATCTGCTTTGCACTCTGTTCTGAATCCGTCTTAGTTATTGCATCATGCAGAAGGAATTTATTTGAAGACATGCATGTTCAGTTATTGGAAGACTTTTAGGTGTGAATGTGAGTTTCTTGCCATTATGCCAAGCTGACCAATACATTTTTGATAGGCTTCAAGCTGTGTTTTTTTAAAAAGTGGACAGATTGAGTATTTGTTTCTGCAGGCTGGCTTGCTGTCAAGAGTAGCCATGAATGATAACGCTTTGGAATGTTGAGTTTGTATGTCTGGATTTGTCCAGTTGGAACAACAACGATTTTATTCATGTTCAGGACCAGGTTTCCAAAGACAAAGCACTACAGACAGTGGCCAACCTTTCATCAGCTCAGATTGTGTCTGCAAGTGTGATGAAAAGCCAAGCTTCTTTCCCTCCACCAGTCAGGGTACGAAGACACACACCAACATACTCACTCACACATCTGGATGAAAGACTCTGTAGTGAAGTTTGCTCTCCGCTGTTTTCTTCGGTCTAGTTTTGGCCGGGCCATGTGCCAGGACAGCCTGGACATTCTCAGGAGTAAGCATCCTTTTTGCATGACATGCTTGCTGAAGTGAAATCGGAGAATCTTGTAAGCTGAAACTGGTGCAGTTTCTTAATCAGTCTTTTTTTTTTTTCCTTTTAGCATCAAGCCCTTTGCACAGCCCCCATACACAACACTAGCAGCTCCTGTTCCTGCACCCATCAGTAAGTATAGAACTTTGAGTAACTTTAGAGCAGCACATGGCATGAGACAGAGCATACAATTGCACAGAAAAGTGAACTATTTTAATGGCCCCATGTGATGGAATAATTTGCTGTACACTAATACCAAATGGAAAGGCTAACAAGGGCATGCGATCAATGTCTTCAAAAAGGAGAAATCTAAACAAATTGGATATTTATTGTACTGTACTGTACTTTGTTCTTACTTGTGACCTATTTTTTGCTTCTTTTCTGTTTTGAAATTTACCACATGATTCACTCTGACAGCGCTTTATTTACGACGTGAAATCAAAGGTTAGCAGCAGCCCATTTCCATCTGTTTGGCAGGCTATGAGTCCCTAGCTCCCCCTCGCCCGGCAGCAATCGCAGCGCCTGTGTGGCAGGACAGAACCATCGCCTCAGCAAAACTACGGCTTCTGGAGTACTCTGCTTTTATGGAGACTCAGAAAGACAGAGAGATGGTACATTTTAGTCGTCACTGCACACGTTCAGGTCCATCTTTTCGACATGTTTCCCTTCTCTTCTTACCTTTGCTCGTTTCTTCTTGCAGTATAAGCATCTGTTTGTGCATATTGGCCCATCCAACCCCAGCTACAGTGACCCGGTGCTGGAGTCCATAGACGTCAGACAGATTTATGACAAGTTCTCCGAGAAGAAAGGAGGTCTCAAAGAGCTGTATGAGAACGGGCCCCACAATGCTTTCTTTCTTGTCAAGTTCTGGGTTAGTAACCTTACCGTAGGACTGAACAAAAAAAAAAAATAAATACAACATGGGATCCTTAGGAATTTCAATCGATTAAAAATAGTGACATGAGTTGTGAGGTTATACCCTGCTAATCCACAAGGGGGAAGAAAATAGCAATGTAACAGTTGGGATACAGTTTCATTTTCCTTTCTAAATGGTTGTGCTCTATGATAGTCCGCTTTGTAACCATGTCACATTTTGTCAATGCTTTATTTAGGCAGATCTGAACAGTGATCTTGAGGAAGGTTCCAGTGCATTCTACGGTGTGAGTAGCCAGTACAGTGGAACGGAGAATATCACGATCAGCGTCTCAACAAAGGTCTGCTCCTTTGGCAAGCAAGTGGTGGAGAAAGTCGAGGTAAGCAAAGCAAACCACGCCAGCTTTTCAATGCGAGTCACCTTTCTCTTTCTCCTCTCACACTCCAGACAGAGTACGCGCACTCAGAGGGAGGAAAACACGTGTTCCGTATCCATCGCTCTCCTATGTGTGAATATATGATCAACTTCATCCACAAACTCAAACATCTACCAGAGAAATATATGATGAATAGCGTGTTGGAGAACTTCACTATACTACAGGTTAGTAAATGTGTCCTGTTGGGGATAAATGAATGCCGCAATTAAATTCTTTCACCCTGATGAGAGCAAAGTTAATACGAGCAAGATTAGAAATTATGTGAATGGTCACAAGAGTGTGTTAATCCACTCGTAAGACTCACCGGTGAGATTCGGAACTGGGCCTTGAGTGGGTGACCTAACACCATCACGTCACAAAATAACGTACAAAAAAAAAAAAAGCAAACCGAAAGAGATTTCACATATTTGAGGATTAAGTACCATTGTAACTAAAGCAAAAAGCACAGTTATTTGTTCCAAAACATCAGCTCGAAACACCTCAAAACCTCTGCACTACAATATAGCAGTTCATAAACAGTATTTATCAATATAAAAACCTTAAATGAATCACATTGTCTCACCAGAGGTGCTGATGCAGAGGCACCAGACTTTTTTTTTTTTTTTTTTTTTTTTTGCCTCGGCTTGTTGGTGTAAGCTAACTGTTCCACAAAACAAGACACCCAGCAACGGTATTGGTTGACTTACAGTAGCCTCATAAAGTCCAGTTTTTCTTGAAGAGTCCACTTTGAAAGTGAATTTTTAATCCTGTCCGATTTTGTCCTATGCCGTAAATCAGTTTTGCCCAGCAATTTAAGCTCAAACAATCAGAGGGTCAAATGCAGCTGAACCAGTTAGAGGACAGAAAATGTAAACGCGCACTGCGATGAATCTAAAATCTCATTGCTTCAAGAAGAAACGTAAATTTCAACTGTGAGTGTGTGGTCGACGCCAGCCCTCAAGATTCTGAATGTGTTGGTCAAAACCCACCAACGACTGGAAACCACGTGGCCAAGACGCGCAATGAAATGAAGACAAGGCTGTTGGAAATAAGTTACTACCGTTTCATGTAAAATGTAAATGCGGGTCTGTGGTTCTGAGGGAATTTGGGCCAGCAGAAAAGGCCTCGAAGGCCCTGGCGGCACGACACTGGCAAATAACCACATAAGTTGTGGTCATCCATTTTCCGCATTCTCTTGTCTGTGGACTCGCACTGCTCAGTAAATTGAATGTGTGTCTTCCAGGCTTCATCAGTGACTGGAACAAACTTTACTTTGGGTGCCATTGTGACCACTTGCCTGTCATGTTTGTTTAAAAAAAAACAAAACAACAGGATGAGAGTGGACAGTTTTCTAGCAGCACTCCAAAGTGCAACTTTGCGCTCATTTTTGTAGGAATCTGTAAAACTGGAGTTTTGCAACAATTTAAATTACCTACTCCCCCCTTCATTGAGTCCATATTGCTCACATTTTCATTGACTGGAGAACTTCCAGTGTATCAGTGTTGCTTGTGACTGTGTTTTCCTGACACTGGTGGTTTGACGTGCTCTGACCTGCCCTTTCTCCTATCTTCCACCAGGTGGTGTCCAACAGAGAAACTCAGGAGACTCTGTTGTGTATCGCGTTTGTGTTTGAAGTGTCCACCAGTGAACACGGAGCACAGTACCACGTTTACCGACTAGTTAACGATTAGCACGTATCAGACACGCAAAGACTGTCCATGACTATCTGACCTACAGTCAGTCATTTCCAGCCCTCTCATTCAGATTGACACCAACACACAAACCACGTATGCCTTACCATCATGGCCCCATCCCGATATTTGAAACACTAAAGTGGGACACACGTGTCATGTTTTCGAGAGTGTAAATAATCCATCCGTGTTCTGTTGCCGAAGTATAACATGCCTCCAAAGGAAAAGCTCTGAAGCATTTGAATTGTTTAACAGTGAGTTTGTCTCAGTGTGGTGATGCATAAGAGGTCAGCCCCATCATTCCCAGCGAAATCAATGTATCATTGACAGCAGTGACTTTGAATATACAGTAAATAAGTACACAGCACAGTTCATATATTTTAAGAGGGGGAGTAGAAATAGTTGTGATAATGAGGTTGCACAAGTGTGCGCACCCTCTTAAACTGGGATTTGGCAGTGTTCACAATTACGCAATCACATTCAGACTTGTCAAATGGGAGTCAGCACACATCTGCAACCATGTTGACTGCTTCTCATGACCCCAAATAAAGTTCAGATATTCTAGTAGGCTTTTCCTGACATTTGTTTGCTTTCATGCAGATAGCCTGATGGATTTGTGCTAACACTGACTGGTGTTTTTAAAGTGTTCATAATTAAAACAAAATCAGCCCCAAAGTTGCCAGTATCATGTGTGACTGTAACTATGGTTTTCCTTTGGTTACAATCAGTGTTGCTTGCTCCAAACAACTTGAGGAATTTTAGCCAATTTTGAATTTACTGGACCATAACAAATTTTCCCCTCATGAGCGTGATTGTTTTGGGATGTAGCTGGGCTTGAATAAAGCTTGGATTTTGCCAACCTTCCCCATTACCCTGACATATGAGGAAGACGGGATACTGAGAATTTATTGGACTGCCAGTACTTGCCAGTAATTCTTGCAGTTCCTTCAATGTTGCTGTTGGCTTCTTGGCAGCCCCCATGACCAGTTTTCTTCTTGTCTTTTCAACAATTTGGATGAATGTGCAGTTCTTGGTACTGGAACCGGTGTGGCAAATGTTCTCCACTTGATGATGACTGTTTGTTGTGTTCCACGGCATAGTGAATTCCTCGGAATGTACGATACACCCATCTTTTGACTTTCTACCTTTTGAACAATGAGATCACACTGATGCAGTGGGAACGCTCAACAGACCATACCTCATGCCTTCAAAAATGTCAGGATAAAGCCGAGGAGAACATCTGAATTTTATATGGGGTTAATCAGAGGCACATTCTGTGGCAGGTGTGGTGCTAACTCTTAACAGGTGTTTGAATGTTTGGGCTATTATGAACACAGCCACATCCCTAGTTATTCGGGTGTGCACGCTTGACACAATAACCACATTATCTCATTTGTTCATTTTTGCTTCTCAAATACTTAATTTATTCAATCCACACTACAGAAGAAAAAAGAATGGGATTAGACACTCGTCACAAGATCCAGTTGAATTTAATGTTCTCTCTTTTCCAATTTCTTTGAACTCCCTCAGTTATAAGATGTCCATTTCAAGGCGTTCTGTACATCATTCAAGGTACAAAGTAGACCGAGGCAGAAATGTAAGACTTTTCGCTCAATTCTCTTGTGACTCTTGTTTGATTTCAATTTGAGTTTTCAGGTTATAGTTTACGTTAATGGTGTAAAAAGTTTGAAATAATTTGTCAGAAATTGTTGTTGTTGTTTTTAAACTGTATATCACAAAAACCTGTCATTTGCACAGGGGTGTGTAGGCTAATATCCACTATACAATGATTTTGGATTTTCTATTTCATCACTGATATCCTATCTATCACAATAACCGTATTCAGCTGTCCTGTGTCGAATGACATTTTCTGAGTCAGTCAAATCAACACAAGTTCCAATGACAACACATGAACAGATGGGAAAACATATCTTGAATGAAACAAAGTGTGAAAAGTTGTTTTGCTTCGCAGTTGAGTGGGAGTAAGAAAAGATCAAATCTTCAGTAAGCAAGCGTTAATGATCGCTTCAGTCATTGCCAACAAACGAAGTCACACAAAGGCGTCGGCGTTCTGAAAGGAAGATAAATTCCCTGGACTGTTTAGTTGCCTTTGCTGCATATTTCTACCTCTGTGTGAGTTGGGATTCAAAATGTTGCTTTCATAAAGCCCTGACCTGAGGAGCACTGACGTATAGGACGTGTGCACACTACATTTTTAATGGTACGTTTTATAAGCCAAAATTAGCTCATTATACTCTTTTTATTTTTGTTTTTGTAAAAGCAAATGTTTTTACCAGTACAGCTAGCGCTAGTATTTTATTTTTTAATTTTTGGCCAGCATGCGGTCCATGCTGCTGTCACCCGCAGGTCACTGGGGTTAAGTCCTCCGAACTGACACTTGTTTTGCTCTGTGGAATGTTTTTGACTCTGTACATTTAACCATAACTAAGCAACACCTGTTAGTCGTCTTGTCATACCCTCATCTACCAGCAAGATTATCAATCATGTGGATGATGACAAGAATGTGTTTTGGTTTTGTTGTAGTTGTTGTTTTTTGTTTTTGTTTCCCCCCCATCATGAAAGTTTGAGCCGACACGTTCACTTGTATCGCATTCACTGTGTGGAACCACGTTCTGCAGTTTTTTGTTTTGTTTTGGGGGGGGGGGTTGCGCATATTCCTTCTGTCGGTGTATTCACATCTGCTCAGTACGTTGAATGTGTGCCTTTTAGGCTATGCCAATAAAATCACTCACGGTGTTTGCAGGACCCAATGAGTACTGTTCTTGTTATTAAAGATAACGTTTGGATTGCAAATTTAACGAAAATATAGTTTATTTAATGCCACGTATGAAATGTTCGTGTGAACGAGGCCGTTTCATTCCAAATGCAGCAAACAAAGCAAGCGGCTTGCAATAAATGTGCAGCGCATTACAGCTGCTAGGTGGCACTATTGCCACATGTATTGGAAGTTTTTTAAATTCCCGTACCGTACACAAATCCGCCCACTTGTTAAAGAGTCGGCTAAGTAATATGCCGTATTACTGGTGGTAAACAAAACACGGTCGCGGGGTCAGTTTTACTCAGTGCATCCCTTCATGACTAAATCATCTGCGATCTTGAATTTGTGTGACTTCTATGGTCATATGTGCTTGAGTTGAGATTTGATGTTATGATTGTATTGTTTTTACTGCATTGATTATATGTTGAGTATGTGAAAAAGCTATTTCTTCTACTACGGACCCCGCATGCCGCAGCGCTGCAATGTGAGCTTTCAGCAACCATCATCACCTGCAACTTTGTCGACGCTGGATTGTGTCATTTCAAAGGACAGCATTCACACAATTCATGGTTTAAGTACAGCCTTATGCGACTCATTTGTTTTTTGAAGTGTTACTGCTCTGTGCCCCCCCCCCACACACACACACACACACACACACACACACCAGTACAGTATAGCCTACGTCATTGACAGTGTTGCAGCAGTTTTATGAGACCTAGTAGTTGGGTAGTACATCTTATGTAGTGCCGCTTTGCTAACTAATTTATTGGAAATATACATGAGATGCATTGGAGTTACAAAGCTTCAACGTTATTGTTCTTAAATTTAACAACATATTCCTATTTTCTGAGTTGTTTCCCCACACAGTTGTATTTCATTTATTCCAGTCTTAGCACAGGACAGTGCCTCAAGTTGTAGAGAAATCAAATCATGTTTATCATAAAGCCTAATAAGCATAAGTAATGTTTTCGTAAACCTTATGCATAGTGCAAATATTAACGCTATGTTTGAATATAGAAAAGTTAAACATTAGTTTCAATACATCTAATTCAAATGTGTTGCACAAATTACACTGCTATAGTGTAAATAAAAACAAACTATTCTTCAAGGTAAAATGCCAATGTATTAAACTGCTGAACTTGAATCAGGCAGTGATTCTTGTATGTGCCACACGACAGAGCCCACATAAACCATTTAGTGTGTGTGACGCTAAGATCACTGTTGCAAACATAAATGTTTCTGTGCGTTTAAAACAAAGCACAAAATTTGTCCATCGTAACATCACAGTTTATCCTTGGCTTGACGCATTGTCAGCATTGATAATGACTACCATTGTTAATGCACTGAAACTTCACAGACATTCAGTTTTGTCGCGTTGCAGGTGTGAAGGGTGTGGTGGGAAAAATTTAGACCTGGATAAACGTAGCCAAAGCAATCCGGTTATGTGCTCACATTACTCTACTTAATTTTAGCTCCTCCTCCTTGTCATAATGTACTGTGGTAGGCTTGCTCGTGTCATGGCCTGTTTCGCTCCGGCACTTCGCCAACATTAGTTTCAATGTTTGAGCAGTAGTAATGGTTGGATTGAGATTGAAGTATACAACGTAAGGGTAACTTGACTGTCTTGACCTTTTCTGGAAAGGAGCAGAAACGTTTGTTGAGTTGAATTTTGCACAGTGAGTAATTGTTAGCTCACTACCTAAGCCAGTAAAATGAAATGGGTGGAGAAGATGCTCACAAAGCAGTGAGTCACATTGACCCATCATCACACCAAAGGTCAGCCTAAACACACAATCAACGTCTGGCGTTTAAGTCTTCCAAGCATCTATCGTAACTGAAGCCCAACCCAAACAAGTAATGCCACAACTTACTCATCCAAATATTATCACGTTATCTGAATTCAAAGGAAACTGCCCAAACACAGTTTCTAACACGGTAGCTCTATGTGTCATATTTTTCAGTTAAGAGACAAAAAAATTGAGTGAAGAGGTTGAATGCCGCAACAAAAGGTGGAAAACAAGCCTCACAATGACAGAGAGGTTACATCACCTCACATCTGTCTACCCGCAAGAGTTTTACTCAAAGGGGCATGGAGCAGCAAGCACAAAAATGTTCAGCGTTACAAGTATGAACCAGCAACTTAAAGGAAATGTGAGGAATCAGCCTTGAGGCCGAATGATAGCATCACAGTGGCTAGAAAGCGTTGTCACACCTCAGCTCTTATCTAAGTGGAGAAAAGATTCTGAATTGGAACACCCAGCGCCCCGGTACGCAAGCAAGTCGCAGGCCACTTTGGAGTTCTGTTTTCCCGACGATGGCCGTTAAGACAGTGAAACCCAATACATGTTCAATCATCACATCATATTACTTGTACACAACGAATTGATGGTTTGCTAGTTTTGAAATCAGTCAAGTCAGCTACCGGCATTTGTTTGTTGAATTATTGTTCAAGTAAGTGTAAATAGGATAATAAAATTACAGCAAAATCTTAACGGTATTTATTACACATGACAATTTGACATTTCGGTATATGTTTTAGCAAGGATCATGAGAGTTGACACCATGATTTGCTTTCGCGGGTCACATAAAATGACATGGCACAAATAAATTAAATGATATTTATATACGGAACATTGAGATGGGTAGTCTTTGTGTGTGTGTGTGTGTGTGTGTGTAAAAAAAAATCATAATCAACTACAATATCAACCCAGAATGGAGAGCACTAAATACTGACCGAATGTACAAACTGAAAACACAACCACGGAAGCATAGACCTGCCAATGTGGAATTTGGCTGGGCTATGTTGTTTGAATGTGTTGCAAAGTCGTTCGAACGTATTGATAAAACAAAGGCCAAATACTAAAGTAACATAGCATTTCTTCCCATAATGCCATGGGATATTGAGATGCAGCTGGCTAAAGTAAGACCTCTCCTTTCTCATGAGCACTTTGAGACAGTAATTCATGCCTTTGTCACATCCCAGCTCGATTACTGTAATGCACTTTACTTTGGAGTCAGCCAGTCCTCCATCAAGCGTCTCCAGCTGGTCCAGAATGCTGCTGCTCGCCTGTTGACTGGTACTCGTAAGAGGGAGCACATAACTCCTACTCTGTCATCCCTTCACTGGCTCTCTATACATTTTAGAGTTCTTTTTAAGATCTTATTTGTTTTCAAATCTTTAAATCACCTCACGCCACCTTACCTCTCTGAGCTCATCCGCCCCTACACACCTGCCTGGCGCCTCAGGTCTGCGGACCAGACGTTATTAGAAGTATCAAGAACGAAGCAGAGGCTCAGAGGGGATCGTGCTTTTTCCGTTGCTGGTCCCTCTCTCTGGAATGACCTCCCACTGAACATTCGGCAAGCCTCCTCGCTGCCCATCTTTAAAACTCACCTCAAAACTCACTTGTATTCTTTGGCATTTGATTCAGCATGACTCTGACTTGATCTTAGTTTTGCTCTTTGGTGCTTCCTACTGTCTTTTGTTATTGATTTGTTGCTTTACTGTTGTATATGTTAGTTGCTCCATGTACAACACTTTGTATACAGTGATTGCTGTTTTAAAGTGATCTATAAATACAGTTGAGTTGAGTTCTCTGTAGTGCACAATTGCGCATACCCAAATCAATACCCTGCATCATTATGGGGGAAAATGCGATGGTTTAGCATTTCGCCTACATTCTGTCCACTTTAGCATTGAGCCTATGTTTGAGATTGAGATTGGCTGGGGCCATCAAACAATCTTTAATTTGTCACTAATTATGATTGTGGTATTATTATAGTTATTTACATATAAAAAGAAAATAAGATGTCCTAAAATTGACCCCTGTGGTTCCCCTTTTCTTAGGTGATTAGGTCAGAAAGAACATCACCAGCATTAATAGGCTGTGAACAACCGAAGAAACAAAATCTGAAGTGTTATGTGGGAAAGGACAGAATCCTGGCCAACAAAGACTTGAATTGTTCCACCCAGTTCCCCTCAGTAAGATTCTTCAGACCAGCCACTGTTCCTCTGTGTGGCTGCTTCGAGTGACATGCTCTAAAAACACACTCTATTGTTTAACAACCTTTGTCCAGCACCTTTTGGGTATTTTGTCTTAAAATACATATCAAGTCGCGATCAACTGCTACGAGACCAAGCACGTGTCGAGCAGAAGGCCCCGCACAGAGGGAAAAGAAAAGAAGCACGTTGAGAGGAGAGAAGCCATTAAAATAGGCGTCGTCTGACAACACTTAAAGCCACTTGTAAAGCATGCTTGCGTTAAACAAATGCCCTAAAGTGAGAATGAATTTGAAAGTGACTGCTTGAATACCGCTAAACATATTTTAACCCTCTCCTTACGTTTTTTTTTCTCACAAAGATAAAATTCCTGAGTCAATTTGGCACATGAGTGTATGTCAGTGTTCACGTAATTACTGATTACTGACCATTGCATTCAATTTTTTGGGCATTACCGCTCAGTGTGTGTGTGTGGGGGGGGGGGGGGCGAATGATTAT